ACTCGTTTCTATTGGTCGATTCTGATGGTGTGACTCGGATTGCGAGCTCTTATTGGTCGATTCGGAGGATTGTGTTTACATTTAGTCCTGCTTGGATTTGAATATCTTAAAATTATATGCCCTCTAAATATTTTACGGTTTTAAGAAAAATTATTGCTTGGGTAAAAATTCAAAAAAACTTAAAACCTACAAAATTTAATAAAATCTTTTAAAAATCATTTAGTTTTAATCATTTTTAAACAACTAAAACTTTCCTTATTATATTTTAGAAAAATATTTATGAAAAAATATTATATAAATGTTTAGATAAGTAATGGATGCCATCTTAAAAAAATCATTATGGCGACCTGAACAAAATTTTCCCTTAAACTTTTATTTTTCACTTTAAGCTTATTTTTCCTTGTTTAGTCAATATTAATAGTATTTATTACCACTAATAACCCTAAAAAATACCAGGCGAATAGGTATTATTTACGGTTATAAAGTGGTCTTAATATCGTAAAATTATGACTTATGAGTAACATTTACCATTAAGTAAAAATTCTGAGGTTAAAATTACCGTTAAATTTTCCTTTAGGTGAAATACACTTATAAGTAATTTTCTTTCGTAAAAATTACGTCCCTTATAATACTTTAAAGTGTTGAAACTTAACGGTTATTAAAATAGGTAAAAATAACATAAATAAAACTTATTAAATAACTTTAAAAAAAGTTTTACCTCAAAGTAATTTTTTAAAGTTAATTTAACAAAATATTTACTTAAATTAAGTAATATTGCCTCAAAGCTCTACGATTTTACTTAAAATGCTGCTTGGGACTCGTTATTGTAAGCAAATGCGTTTGAAGGTAATCATTTCATTTCATGAGAATTTGCTTCCTACCTTTGAGCAAAATAATTTAATTACAATCTTATTTATACCTCTGGAAGCATTTACTTTGAATTTTGCAAGTATAAGCAAATTCTCGTTTTTATTCGCATGGCCCAATCAGTGCCGGTTTAAGTTAGTTCGCCGCCCGGTTCTGGCAAAAACACAACGTCCAATACTTTAAAATATTAGTTTTTAAAAACATTTTTAAATTTTTAAGTTTTACTTTCTCACGTCAAGTGGAAGATTAGGTTGGTTAGGCTGGTATCTAACAGTAAACTTAATATCCTATAAAATATAAAATGAGCCTTTATAAATAAATTATAAAAACTAATCAAAAGCACTAACTAAAAAATAAAACATTTGTTGGTTTATATAAACAATACTAAGTACTAAGAAAAATTAATCAAAAGTTATAAATAAATAAAACATTATTCTTTGGTTTAAATAAATATTGAGAAATCCTAATACTAATAATTAAAAGGTTGTTTTCAAGTCTTTATAGTAGCAAATTGTTTTATAACACTTTACATTTATTTCATCTAGCAGGTCTTGATAAATGGACAGAATTGCTAAGGAGTTAAATCTTTCTTGGGGAATTGTATTTCTTAGGTAGTTCTTTACCCTTTTTAGAGCAGAAAAAGATCGTTCACCACTTGCATTTGAAACCATTATAAAAAAAATTCGCAGACAATTATTAATATTCGGAAATGAAGATATTAATTTATTTTCGTATAAAACTTATACTAATTACAATGGAGTTTCTATTTTTATTTCCTGAGTTGGACACATTTTTGAGGAAAAAACTCATCCTAATCCTCCACGAAGATTTATGGTTTTAGATTAAACAAAAATTCAAATTTGTTTGTGCCAGATTTCTAGCTATCATATCGACAAATGATTTCGGATTATAGATTGTTTCTTTTTTGCTTAAACTTGCCTCTGAATTATTTTCTTCAAATTGTAATTTTCTTATGATTATCCGCTTCTGAGCATAATTTTAGTTTCCTGTTAATTTCCTCGTAATGATCAAAATGATATCACGTAAAAAATCAAAGTTCTCAACTAAAAATGACAAAAGATGAGCATTTGTGCTTAAATCCATATTTTGTTTTTGGACTGCTTTATTGGTTTCATTAACCCTTTGCAAAACGTCTATCCAAAAAGTTCAAATTATTCCGTTTCCAATAAATCAAGTTTTTCTGATGGAGAAGCTGCTTTAACTCTAACAACATTTTTCTCATTTGTATCCGTTGTATCCGCCGACGCAGTGTCGCAATAACTTTTTTTCTAAATTCTAACGATTAAGTATTTTTTTTTAATTATGGGCGGTACGCGGTACCGCCCTAAAAATATTTACCGCCCGGTGCTATAGTCCCCAAAAAACCCCTGTTAAACCGGCACTGGGCCCAATATTACTTATCAAAAACAATTTAATTCAGTCGTTTCATCTTTTCAGTTGTTAGTATCTATATATAATTTATATTTATATGTCTAATGTATAAATAAATACTTATGTTACATTTTTTATAACAATTAATGGTTTGGCAGTATTTCAAAAGCCATTTTAGCTTGATATATTTAATAATTTTATTATTCTTGACAAACTAATTCTCGTTTTAAACAATAAATAAATTAGTCATGATGTACGAGTATTTTACATAACTTCGTTATTAATAATATATTTTAATTCCGGTATGTTTTAAGTTTTAGACATTGCATATATGTACAATCTGCCCAGATATTTCCTATTTAAATGTCCCGCTGAAAGGAACTAAATTTTTTTTTTAAATTAAAACCTTGCTTTATAATTACGTAGGTACATGTACCATTGTGTATTTACCGCAGCTGTTTATTTGGTAGTTGGTAAAAAATTTTGCAGAAGGCTTTCGGTGAATCGTGAATGTCGAGAACAAGGTTTAATAAAATGGCCTTGGATCTAACGATTTATATAAAACCATTTGTTAATTTGGATCTAAGATGTTTGGCCAAAGACTTGAATTTTTCCTAAATTTTTGGAAAAACTTGACTTGACAACTTGACAGGGAAGTGTTTTGGTTTTTTAGTTTTCTTAAATTGTTTTCTATGCATATATGGTTTTTTGCCATTAAAATTTAATGCCAAATATGTAAACAAGGTTTAAAATCATATTTATGTATCACCTGTATGTTAAAAATAGCTGTAATGCATAGAAAAACCTATGCTGTAATGTATTGTTTACAATTGTTTTTTTTTATTTTCCTTTTTTTTATTATTTAACTAGTATAACTATAGCTTACTTTGTTCATTGTTTTCGAGCGTATAATGTCTCAATTCCACGAAAGTGTGAAACAAATATTTTTTTCTACTCCCACCTTTATCTCAATACAAAAATACAAAAGTATTAAATAGTTTCTCAACGCCAATATTTGAAAAGTTTATATGAACATTGTTCTGACATTTTAATTTCGCCGGCAGTAAACTAACTTAAAAATAACTTAAATTCGGGCTCGGGCTCCACTGTAAAGTGCTCATAAAATTTTCTTTACTTTCACTTTGGAAAAGTGTTGTTAAGCCATTTTCAATGAATACATTTCGATTTATAACCTTTATAATCTGTGTTTATAACACATAAAAATTTGACATATGACGGTAACAGAGATTACCCAATTGTTTTATAGATGGCGCTCTATACATATTAGGGTGCTACAAAAAATAAAATTTGATTTTTTTCGCTCTTACTCTCTCAAATGTTTCTATTTAATATAAAAAAAATTCTCACCAAATATGGGCGTCTCAGCTCAACTCTAAGAGATCGCTGTTTTTATTTTAGTTTCCCATTTTATTTACATGGGAAAAAATAATTTTATGTTTGAAATTTTATACCTCTGTATCAAAGTAACTTGGCAATGATCATTGCTTTTTCTTATATAAACTATAGCGCTCTACAAAAAAGCTCTCTTATTATTTTTCGATAAATTGATTTCTTCTAGAGTTATTCGAGGTCAAAGTTTGATAACATCAAATTTTCTGGTCAAAGTTTGATAACATCAAATTTTCTGTTTTTTTTTTAATTTTATGGTAGCAAACAGAAGGTGAAAGGGGGCAAAACAAGGCAGCGGGGGGGGCAAAATGGGGTACCCAAAAAATGAGCATATGAAAATTTTTCCAAAATTGTACCATCCTTTTTCATGCTCTACTAATTGTACCATAAAATTAAAAAAAAAAAACAGAAAATTTGATATTAATCAATTTATATAAGAAACTACAATGATCATTGCCATAAGTTACTTTGATAAAGAGGTATAAAATTCCAAACATAAAAATATTTTTTCCCATGTTAATAAAACTAAAATAAACTAAAATAAAAACAGCGACCTCTTAGAGTTGAGCTGGAAAGCAAAAGCGAAGAGCGAAAAAAAGATTAAATTTTATTTTTTGAAGCACCGTAATACATATATTTGATTTAAATCATTTTAAGATATTTATAAGTATTTGTCGTAGAAAAAGTATAGTATGCACCTCGTTTATAAACTTTTCTAGACACTCATTAATTTAAACACTCGCTCCCAAGCTCGCTCGTGCCTAAATTAAATTCGTGTCTAAAATGGTGTTTATCAAACTTGATACATAACTATTATGTACTGCTACATTGACAAGCTGTGACTTTAGTTTTAGTCACAGTGGCCTTTGAGCATTTTAGTCACGGGTTGAAGTTAGCTTTATTATAAATTGCAAAAAAGTGAATCGGTCAAATGTCAAATATTTATTAATTAAAATTGGCTTTAAATCCTTAGTAGTATAGTGTGCAACTCGTTTCATAAACTTTTCTATACACTCGTTTTTATGAAACATTCGCTTGCAAGCTTCGCTCGTGACTGACGATGAAAATGCTGGGTCGTAAAGTGATGTCAATTTCGACTTTTTATTAACATTTGAGTCGATATGGTTTGTTTAAATATTTAAAATAACAGAAAAAAAAAGTACAAAATGCCCCAATGTGTCATGACAACAATACGAATTTTTTGAAATAATTTTTTATTGTGCTTGAAAAGCTTTAAAATTCTTAATGGGCAAACAAAGTCCTCACACCTATTTTGAACACCCTATATATTTATTAACAAAAATGTTTTTACTTGTTTATTTTATTTTTAGGAAATGGACAAGGAAATTAATATGCTATTAAATGATTTATATTTAGTTTCACAAAATGAATTTTGTTCGGATAAATAAAATCAATTGAATAAAACTTAATTTCCAATATTTCTTGTTTAATAACCCCGGTTAATGTCATAAATGTATAAGAAAGCCCTTAAATGTCTACGATAAAATTTATAGCATTTGGTTTGTTAAAGTAATTTGGATATTGGTGGACATAAAAACGAAAGTTTATGGAACGAAAACAAACATTGTGCGTGAAACTGTCTATAAGAAGAAAGTATAAATCTACATAAAGCTGTCACGTTTTGATTATATCAAGAAAAGCTAATTTTATTTCAAGATCGTCTTTAATATATCAGGATGAATAAGTATGAGTAATATAAAAGATACCTAAATGTAGTTTTACTTAAAAAAAGATTGTCAAATTAAAGCCTTGGTAAATATAAACTTTAAAAATTATTAATCCACTTCGATAGCCACCATACATTCTTTCAAAAAAGCCAAAGGTATTTTAAGAAATTTATTTTTCTAGGCAAAACCTAAAAAGACCCAATTTAAAATAGATGTAATATTACAAATTTCGTAAAATTACGTTAAGAAATAAGTTTTATTTTACCTTACCAGCGGATGTAAAAAGTTATTTTATTCACTTCTACATTGACGAGCTGTGACTTTATGACGTTTTAGTCACGGGCTGAAGTTAGCTTTATTAGCTGATATGTAAATATCCTGCCTGTCTAACATCCACTAGCATATGTCAAACCATAAAGTTATGACATGCGCCGAATGAAAACGAAAACGGCTTGTTACGTCAAAGTCCGTCATTGTCAGGGTAAGTATTATTTCAAAGTTTATGGACATACAAAATATTTACATTAATACAAAGGAGTCTTGCATTAACAAAAAGAAAATGGTAACTTGAAAAGCCATTACATTTTCGAATAAACATTGTAAAAGACTCTAACCTTAAAATCACCATTACCGTGCTCGTCATTGTTGTGTCCCTTACATGTAACCAATTTAAAATATTTCATTTCAGTGGAAAATTAATTAAAATGACAAAACCACGAAACAAGTTGACCAACGAAGCTAAAAGACAAGCAGAACGTGAGAGACGCAGAAGAATAAGAGATGACCAAGTAAAACCGTGGGTTCAACTTTCTAAAAAAGACAGAACAAAAATTTACGTTTTTAGTCTTCATGTCTATGTTCATGAGTGGAGAAGTCCTAAAAGTGCAAAATTAATAAGATTTGCATGATGTGTTAACAAAAATGGTTCCGAAAATCGACAATTTTTTAAATATTCACGCAAATAGGACTGCAGTATTTAAAACTGGTTTGATGAAGATTTACAAGTTTCGTTTCCTTCTCCTGTAAAATAATTTTTATGTGGGCCATCAAAATTACATGCAAAATCCTACATATGGCACGGCATGCCGCGGCATCTGCAATAATTTTATGTACCAAAAAATATATTGAATCAATTTTAAATAAATGAAAAAAGCCGTTTTTAAATTATATAAAAGACACAAACAAGTTATTGGTTATTATTAAATAAGCATCTAGAATGCCTATTTCTAGCTCGTCTCAAATTTTGGTGCACATTGAAATGAGCCCATAATAAATTACTCCTACAGTGGAAATAAACTAAAATGCAGTGTATCTACAGTGAATTAAAGGCCACCTTACGGTCACGGAAGTAATAAAGTGAGAAGTTATAAGTGACAGCATACCTGGCGGACAAACCACCTCACAATAGGAAGCATTTTTTGTGAAGAACAAACGAGACTAACCAAGAGTGGAAAGGGCCATCATCTGCAAATTCGATAAGTACTCTTAACTGAACGCAAGACCTAAAACGTTCAGATTTCCCGAAGAGCGGCTTTTTTCGCCTAAACACAACCCTAGAAAAAAACAATGTAGAACAAAGAACAACAGCAACATTAATAATTATAATAAGACAATAGTAATAAAACAATAAAAAAAACAATAAAACCATGCCGTCCCAAATCTTATTGCAGCCATTCAAGGGATTATAGCTAAGCCAAACAAATTAATCAATCACCAGGTAAATAAAAAAATCCATAAACTTAAGAAACCGGTTAAAATAAACAAAAGTGTGTTAACTAATCGAGACACAAAAAAACATTCGAACCTAGGAACTTACGCCCTATGTCGAAAATGCAATAATTAAACTTAACAGTCTTTACGAATCGCGGATCGCGCGAACACAAAAAGGTACGGATAGTCTCTGAGTATTGGGAAACAACAAAATGAATCGAATGGGGTCGCGATCTTCACAAGAAAAAAAGGGCCATATAATAACAACTTTTGGACAAGGACTCAGTCAATGATGGTTAAGCCGTAGCCTACGATAAGGAAGATAGGTCCCTACAACTAACTAACAACTCCCCAACTTCAAATAGTAATCCCAAATGTTTGGAGTAATACAAATTTCCCGGTCTAGGGGGTTCCCGCGGCGTAAACAGATTTGAGTCGGCGTAATTGTCCCCTAAACACAGAAATGTCTGTCCTCCCCGTCCCCACCACCATTTGTTCCTACTGGGCGTATAGAAACTGCCCGGCGAAATAATAAGAATAATAATAAATAAGAGTATATTCAAAATATTCGCATGTCGATTTCAAGCCCCAAATACATTATCGGACGCAGAGGACATTGGCACCCAGCAAACACGGGTGAAGCCGTCCAGTTGCTGGTGGCAGAAAAAGATCGGCGTAGGGTAACGGATGCTTGTGCGGGGCTCAGGAGAGATGAGGAAATGGGGCCAGTTATACAACTCTTATACTCATCCTCATTGAAATAAACCCGGTCAACTTCCATCGGCTTTCGCCGAACTCGCGACTTTTATGGGGCTGCCAGGCACTTGGTGCAATATGATCGACAAGGCTGACACCTGGAAATTAATTTGTAATGCCTAAAACTATGTCGTAAATATTTTTCGTGCACATTGCGATGAGAAAAGTTATGCACTTTTTAAAGAGTGATTGGCAGGCGGGATTTCGCGCGATTTCGAACAGCAGGGACTCGAGTTTGTATATTTAGTAGTGTGTCTAGCTTATGCATCCACATTGGGATGATTTTTTATAAAAAGTATACTCTATACCCATCCCCAATTACAGGTAATTTCTAACTTTTCTAACAATATTGGCAACCTCACTTTGTATTGTCTGGAAGATTATGACAAATAATAATAAGCCTTCTACATGGATTGCTTATAAATTATAAAAAAACTATAATGAATTCATGTTCTTACTGATTTTCACAAATTACAACTTAATTTACGATGCCCTTTTTTTACTGCACCTTGGTACATATTTGTACCACTTTTAATAATTTCGTGAATGGATAGCGCTGACACCATATTTAATGGAACCTATGTGTACCGAAGAACGTCTATAGGCCCATAGAGTCCCTTAAGGCTGAAATTCTCCTTAAACGTTATTAAATTTCGACTTTATGGCAAGTGGTACATATGTGTACCAAAGTGAGATAAACGCAACCGATCTGAGCAGGCAGGCACGCGGTTTCATCTAATTTTTTTGTTCACAATGGAGGCGTCACGTCGCTAGCTCTGGGACTATAAGCACGCTGTGCTTAGCACAGGGCAACAATCACACTTCTGATTGTATATTAGAGCAACATTTGTGGTTTACCAAGGCACAGAACGATGTCATGTCACCTAATATTGACAGCATACACATAGAAAAGTATTGAAACAAGTTTGGAATACGGCATATTCTGCTCGAGTGACACGAACCGAAGGCGAGTTTGACGGTTTCACGAGAGCGAAATATGCATTTCCGTAATAGGATTAAAAAAAAGGTTTTTCTAGCATGCGGTTTCTTAGAGGACAACTACTTTATAAAATAAACTATTTAATCCAAATAATAAAACATTTCAATATGATATTATTAGTATAATAACTATAGCTAAAAGTAGGTAATATTGTTAATTAATCAGTTAATGTTAATCAGTCAGAAAATTTTGGTCTTTTAAACCTCTTTAGTGGCAGAAAGCCATGTAGTGTGAAACACATCTTTACAACTAGCCATCGGCTGCTTTATAGGCAGCAGTTTAGACGACACCATCTACCTTTGGACACTAGATGGTGCTCTTAACCTTTGTTCACTGTGCTACCGCTGTCTTTTAACTGAGGCCTATTAAATGGCCGATGGTTAGTTGTCCTACACCACACTTTTTTTAAGTTGTTACTTTGTTATATTAGGTGTGTTCTTTTCGCCTGAGATCTTAGTTAATCTCAGCTCCCATCGGTAAAATTTGCAAATGTGCGCATTGCTTCACTCACCATAAAGTGAGCTGAGATTTTTCCTCCCCCCTCACCGATACTGCACATGCTGTGCGGGGGAATCAGTTTGAATTAAGTCGGAAATAAAGTGGAGGGGATAAAGAAATTATTGATTTGTTAAGTTTTTAAATAATATAACCTAATCTTATTTAGGTGATTTATTGCAATAAAACTTAAATTTCCATAAAAATAATTTTGTAAATTAGCTATAAACTTGATATAATAAATAGAATTCGAATAAAATTGCTTTTCAGAACGAGAAAAACACTTTTTACAATATAATTGAACAAAGAAAGTAAAAGTGAAGATTTTTTTAATTCTCATTTTATTTCATAAAATTATTATTTTTTGCAATAAAACTTAAATTTCCATAAAAATAATTAAATTTAGTAAATTAACTATATAGATAATATAATAAATAAAATTCGAATAAAATTGTTTTTCAGAACTAGAAAAACACTTTTTACAATAAAATTAAACAAAACATGTCAGTTTTTTTTATTTTTATTTTATGTCATAAAATTAATATTCTTATCAAAAAGTTGTTGTTTTTTTTGTCACCCAATTATGGAAAGAATAAGTATTATAGATCGGGAAACGTCTTCGTCGTCTTCATTCAATAAAACTTTTATTATTATTTTTGTGTTATCCATAATTCACCGCAAATTTATACATAGAAAACCACGAAATTTAAACCAATAAGGGTATGACACAGAACATAATGATATCAGAGATAGGTTTGGTTGCCTCTTATTCACGTATG